CTCATCATGTAACTGTAAAACCTTAGGAAACTATTCATGTGATAGTTCCGTAATAACAAACTAATAAAAATCTAATTAGCCAAGGAAGTGGCCTTAATAAAAAAAAAAAAAGAAAAAAAAAGATTTAGACTCTATTCATTATTAGAAAAAGGAATTTAGGAGAATTTAAACTGAATTAAATAAATATTGAACTTGAGAGGAAAACTACTTGTATTTATATCTTTTAGTAAAGCTTTGTAGAAGAGTCACCAAAGAGTCATCAAAGGGTTATCTAAATGTTATCTAGGCATTCATGCAAGTATTACTTAGATATCACTTAAGTATCACTATAAATAGATTAGCTCAGTAAGTAGCACAGTATTTGGCACAGTAATTATCATGTTATATTAACTGTTATTTAAGTTTTCTCTGTATTATATATAATAACTTTGGATAAAACTTATATTATTGTGTAACTGTAGTTCTCATCTAGAAAGTTACTTAGAACCATTTTTTGATCTGAATACTTCTTGAGGTACTTCACTTAGAGGTGAATGTTTTCTATAAATTTCTATACTATAAAATATTTATACTAAAATAATACAAATATAAGAAATAATACTAATAAATATAACTAATAAAAATATAATGTAAATTATGCTAAAATAATAGTAATACATACTAGATAGAAATATTTTAATGTAATCTAAAATTTTTGATTAAATAAAGTATTAACATGATTACTAAAAAAAAATAAAAATAAATATTATCAAATATTAACAGATATTATTTTTTTTTTATTATTAAGACTGTTTTTTTAGCTAATTAGATTTTATTAATTTGTTATTATAGAATTACTGAAATAGTAATCTTCTAAAGTTTTATAGTTATATGATAAGTATACAACAAACTATATGTATAACTTTAATTATTGTCTAATTTAAATAGTCTACTATACAGATGATTAACTATCTGTTAGTTCTATATTATATTGTTATACCTACAATCTGCTTAAAAGTTACTTATTTAAATACTCTGATCATTAACTCTTTCTCTTATTCTAAATTAACATCACTACTACATCTGACTACCTAAGCTAGCTAACTTGTCTATAGATTTATTTATTGCATAACTTAAGTTCTTTTAGAATATATATTGCTCAATAAGGATTTTTTTGATTTTCTCAAATAGGCTTATTTGTAGCAAGCAACAGCGACTCTCTACCCGATGAAATCAAAACAAACAAAGCGAAACGAATGATATCAAAATGTGTTGCATTAATTGCCTCCGCAATTTCTTCATATGAATTTCCGCCTGGTTCATTCCTGTAGATGAATCCATGAAAAAATTCATTCCACACTATTTAACTTATAAGTTAATATGCATGAATAGCCGTACCAATATCAGATGGATTAAATAATATTTCTGTAGCGTGTAGTGACACGTTCATTAACAAAGCTAAAAATATAAAGATCAAAGATTTTATAACACAAGAAATGTCTAAATTCAAGATAGAAAAAAATACTTCTATATTTGAAAACAATATTAATTTAGACTTCCGAAAATTTTTAATGTAAATAAAAAATTTTTAAAATGTTACAATAAAAGACATTATAGGGAACACATTAAGTTTAAAACATTGGTGTCAGTTGAAATAATAAGAATGCTCTGCGATTATATGAGATCTTTGCTATGGAAATGACCTTCCGAGACTATTTAGATTTATGAATAAAATTAAAATTTATCAGCGATCCAATAATTCAATTTGAATAAACTTTATTTTCAAAAAAAAAAAAAAAGTTTATTCAAATTGGATTACTGGATCGCTGGTAAATTTTAATTTTATTCATAAAATCTAAATAGTCTCTGAAGGTCATTTTCATAGCAAAGCTCCCATATAAGTATTTATTTCACCAACACCAAGATTACTAATAAACAATACTTAATCTGATAAAAACTATTGAAACAAGTTTAATGATTAAAACCGTCCACCATCACCTCTTCTATTTTGCCCTCCGCGACCTCCTCTAAAATGTCTGTAATCTTGATTATTTCCTTGTCTAGTATTATGTTGGTTCTTTGGATGAAATTGTAGTGATTTATCACATCCATAAGTCAATAATCTATTCACTTCCTCCAAATCATTATTCCAACAGCTAGGTGGAGGCATTTGTGACTCTTTCTTAAGTCTAATAAAATATAGTTCATTAATCGTATATGGAACTTGATGATAACCACTATTATAACTTTCATTGATTGCATTTTTCAACATTTTAGTGATTACATGTTTCCATCCTCGTTCAGGCAAAGAAAAATCTATCATTTTAAAGAAAACATCCCAGGTTTTAACGTTATATATTTGTTTGATCAATAAAAGTAAAGAAGTGCTCATTTCATCCGATGGATAGCCATATCTATGTTTCATATCTTTTCCAATTCCTTGTATTATTTTAAGAAATGAAACTTGAAATAATACAAGACGTAAAGAAGTGTTACTCAATTCAAATGTGGCATTAAGCCGATAATCTGAACGATAATTTTCTGGTTCTATGTATGCCAAACCAGGTTCTTTGTTTAGAAACCAAACTACATTACGAGCCAATAATTCTTGCAAAAAAGACGGACAAAAATCTGACCAGACCACATTTTTGCACAAGAACAGGTAGATCATAAGTTCTCCTAAATTTGGTGTGCGAGATTTATGACGTTCAACTTTTTTTTCAGAGTTTATAAATCTAGTAATTTTATTTTCAGCTTCTTTGGTGATTTCCGGATATTTTTCAGCTAGCATTGTCAAAAGGTGAAGCAAAAGACAATATCCTTGCAATGCTTTTTCAGAAGCTTTTAGAACCACCAGATTACGATTACTAACCGATTGCGCACCACTATCATCACAAGCTTTCATCAAATTCACCACTATTGTACTCATTATTCCTGGAATCGTTTTGAAGATTATTGATGGATCCCAATTAGAATAGTCACGTAATTGCATTAAAGACAATTTAAGTATCGGAAGTGATCGATCAAAATGATGTTGGTTTAAAGCAATTGGAAGAAAATGGGTGAACTTATTTCCCCAAATTCCAACTCGTAAATTATGATCCTTAAACGCTTCATATGAAAAAAGATCAAATTCTTCAATTATTAATTCACGTTTTTCTACGGAACCATAACCAGCTCTAACACCAATTCCGAGAACTGATTCGGTAAAATTTTTGCGAAGATAATAGCATACCAATTGTCGGCGTAACATTATATTAAAATAACTAACCAATGTACTAATACGTGGATATGCTTTAGATAACAAAAATATATCTTGATCTGTCAAGAATTCCAAGATATGCAACCAAGCATCGTCATTTAAATCATTCACCGTAGTATCAGATGTCTGAGTACTAACATCACTATTAACATAAGTAGGACTTAATGAAGAAGAAACGCGGTTTCCGTAAATGTCTTGATTTTCAATTTCATCATCAATAAGAACTACCTTTATAGGATTAGAACAGGTGGGTTTATTGTATCCACATTTTGTGCATGAATAACACCGGACTATTCGCTGCGCAGCTGATTTATCAACTTCGATTTTATACAAACCACCATGATCTTGTTCAACCCATTGATCAGAAAAAAAACTTAACAATTGTAAGAATATGTATTTCAATAAATAACCAGCAGTATATCCTCCATTATACCCATTAGAAGATCGAGCATGAGATTGCAAAATATCCGCACAAATATATCCATCATATTCATCCCAATCATCGAATACATTGGGATGCTATAATAATTACAATAAAAAAAATAAATATTTAAATAAACATAGCTGATAGGATAAATTAAAAAAATAAAGTAATTTAAAACGTACTTCGACTGCGGTTTGTATTGACACCTTGGGTGCAATACGAGGGTATTCTTCAGGAATTTTAACAGTCAAATGTAATCTTAGACCGAAGAACGGACCTTGTAAAGGTGTCAAAATCAAGCACATTGAAGTGATATCATCATGAATTATTACATCAACACCTTTCAAAGGATCATTTCGCAATTCAATTATTTCACGCTTTAATCTTGGTAAACGTGCCTGAGGAAGTTTTTCTGAAAGTTGTTTATTAGAATTCATCATTTCTCTTATCAAAAATGATTAAAATTTCCTTTTCGATTATGTAAGAATTGGTGAATGAATGAATAAAATAATTTATTTAATGAAATTCCATTCACGAAATTCTATTCTTTATATCAGATATTGAAAATCGGAATTCTAATTTCCGTATGAATAAAGGCTGCGCCAGGAAATATAAAATGCAAGTTACTACTTTTACTTTGAATTATACATGTGTGCCTAAATTGCCCATCCTAATACGTAAAAAAGTAATTGCGGCATTTAGGCTGCCGAAATTAGTCTTATCGTTATATAGTGCCGAAATTAATTTTCATATTTGCCGAAATTATTGTCAAAATTTTTTGAATTCTTTTCATCAAAATACATCATATAGTATAGTTATTTAGGAGGTTTCATATAAAAAAATTTAGCAATGCTGAAATCTTTGCCGAAAAGCAATTTAGGCACATATGTGTACTTTGAATAAAGTTCTGTTCCATTATCGTTATGACCATTAAAATATGTAATTTCTACTAATTTAGAAATTTCTAAAAAAATCGTATCGTGAATTCAATAGGGATGGACCACTGCGCCGCAGTGTAATTTTCATAATTAGTGTTACTCTCGGGCATATGGGTTGTTGCCAAGTAAATCGGGGCTTAGAGACGAATTTTTTATTTGTAAATATCAACGATTAATCATTTTGATACAATACAACTATGGAATAGATAAAAAAACTGCGTACGTATAAGATTGTACTAAATTATAATATGTTAATAAGTATCCAAACTTTTACCACGAGTAAAGCACATACTTGGGAATATAATTTACTAAAAATCTCAATTTCGGGTAAAACCTCTCTAAGCCCCGATTTGCTAGGCAACAACCCATATATAGAGATTGTAGTACGTATTTCATATGCATCACGTGAGTTTTAATTAAGTTAAAAATTATACTTTAATGATGTGATAAATATAACTGATAATCTCAAATGATACTTTCAAAGCATATGTTAGCAGATAATTGATTTTGATTGTTAAATCAATAGTTTCGACACTTTCGCTTAGTTTGTTCGGATCTTTTAAATATTAATTATTGTGGGGACTAAGGCGCATTTTTTTTTTTTTTTTTTTTTTTTGTAGCTAGGTTAGAATTTAGGGTTAGTGTTAGGGTTTATATTATTAAAAGGGTATAAGTGGATTTTAATAATTTCAAATCGATCCCTAGTTTTCAGCTTCAGCCCCCCACAATTATTATCAATACAGGTAACTCTCGGTATAAGAAACTCTTGACTTGGTACAAGAAAGATCTAATTAAAAATTTTATAACAAAAAGCTTTCGATATAAGAAAATCTCGGACCCATGATTTTTCTATATCAAGTATTAAATTGTTGAATAATAATATCGATCGATATATAAAATTTTTTTACTTTTCGTTTATCATAATTATGGGATAGTGAAAATTAGTGATGGGCAATTTGCAGTTTTTCCAAAAATCCCGCGCGGGATGCGGGATCCCGCGCGTGATCCGCGCGTGATTCGCGGGATTGTTTACCGGAATTATGTAAATTTCGGCTGGAATTATGGAATTGGCCCGAATTATCC